ATATTTAATGTTTTACTTCTGAAGGCACTTTAACATCCAAATATTAACACAATACGAAACCTACCCAATAAGGCCAATATAACAGTTTCATTTATATTTAATGTTTTACTTCTGAAGCACTTTAACATCCAAATATTAACACAATACGAAACCTACCCAATAAAGCCAATATAACAGTCTCATTTATATTTAATGTTTTATTTCTGAAGCACTTTAACATCCAAATATTAACACAATACGAAACCTATCCAATAAGGCCAATATAACAGTCTCATTTATATTTAATGTTTTACTTCTGAAGCACTTTAACATCCAAATATTAACACACCAGCTCGTCTTCTGATAGACTAAATAAGTACATACTTATAGGACTGGCGCGTTATTTATACGTCTAAACATACCTTTTCATACTTAAATACCTTAAATTGTAATTTTTTCAAATCAATTTTTATAAGGCATAAATTAAGATGAGTGTAAAAGCTACCTTACCATTTTTAACCAGTCGTACATAAAAACAGTTTCAGTTAGTCAACATCACGATATTTCGTGAAAGTTTTTACTTTGTCTTCCGTGCTTCTAAAAGCGCTTTAAAGATTACAGAGTACTATAAGAGCTTTAGCTATTCTAGTTACTAAACCTTTTGCCCCCCCCCCGAGGCTCAGCGGTAAGTCTGAAGGCTTACAACGTTACAAGCCGAGTTTCGATACCCGTGGTGTGCACAGCATAGATAGCCCATTGTGTAGCTTTGTGCTTGATAAGAAACGAACAAAAACAATTAACTTGCACGAAACCTTCCTGGTAATTGATGCCACTACCTTCGAAAGATCAGGTTTCCATTACGAAAAAGAATAGACACCTTCGCCATTCCTCTTAGATTTTTGTCATGCTTTTATTTTCTTTTATTAATATACGTTTCCTATCGTTTTCATCAGTTCAACTATACATTATAGAAACAACGATCTAACTTCGACACCACTGCACGTTTTTCACGAGAATAATTTACATTAATAAAATACACGCTATAATTAACCAGGTTATAAAATAATACATCAAAAATATAGAAAAAATTAAACCAATTTCCTGTTAGATGCCTCGGATATGTCTAGAATTAAAAGGCATAACTATAGTACTTCAATAACTGACTTTTCTGAATATGACAGCCCGAGCATGGCCTAGTGGTTAGCGTAATGGAGTGAGGATCAGATAGTTTTAGGTTCGAGACGTAATGCTATTACCCACACTCCATACTTTCAGCTGTGGCGGCGGGTGCTGTCAACTAATTACCTTTCCTAAGGTCGGCAGTTCAGAATTACTAACGGCTATGTTTGAACACAGGGGTCTTTGACCTGTCAGTTTAGTCCATTGTGTGCATAACATATTGTTCAGGTAAAACAAACAAGCAAGCAAAATACTTTTTACAAATGCGAACATGGTAAACAAACTAGCAAACACATTCAACAATGCCGAGCTTAAGAAGTAATGATATAAGAGGAGGTGGGCCGTACCTTCCACTATTTTGAGCCGTAGCCATATTTTGATAACGTTTGCTTGATTGCTTATTCATTTAAACTCGATATTTGGCGTGAAATCTTCTACGAAATTTCATCGGAACTGGTTCAGCCAGTTCATCACAACTTGAGATATCAGAAAGAAAGACATTACTTTATATGCATATATATTTATAGCTTTTTTGTTTTAAAGATTGTGACTTAAAAATGTAAAAAACGTAATTGCCACCAAGCGATGAAATGATGTGAAGCCATACCCGCCATAAATTTGGTTAAACGAAAAAAAAAGACTTCTATACTTTTTGTTTTGCAAATATAACAATTACACAACTAATGGTATTATAAGCTAATTAAATTCATTTATTTGTTATTTATACTTCTCAAAACTACATTTAAATAAACGCGATAGGAAACTTAGGTTAAGTCAGGTTATGCATAAATCAAGATGGTTTTAATAACTTACAGTTCGCACAGAAACTCCAGTTCAAATAAAGTTAGCTAAATATGTATTATAAGATCGCCCCCAGTGGCACAGCGGTATGTCTGCGGACTTACAACGCTAGAAACCGGGTTTCGATACCCATGGTGGGCAGAGCACAGATAGCCCATTGTGTAGCTTTGTGCTTAACTTCAAAACAAACAAACAAACAAAACAATTATAAGATCAGGTAAACAATGATCAAAGAGAAATTAAACCAGAGTTAAAACAGATTAAACATAATTAATATTAGCATTATAAATATATTTCACATTTGATGATGAAGAATTCACTTTTTAAAAAATATAGTTTGGAGACGCCTTGAACAGATAGTG